ACCAGAGCACCCGCCAACCACCCACGTGCAACCTACCCCCCCCCCCCCCCCGTCGTGTCGCTTACAGTAATAAAAATATAATCATTCATTAAAAAAAAAAAAAGTTCCTTCTTCACCAATCGCAGAACGTAAAACTCGAGTTCATGTTCAGTATTATTAGTGTAGTAGAGGAACGACAAAAATACGGGAAGAAAGGAAAAAATTGCAAAAGAAACAAAAAGTATTGGGATGTACATAGAATTAGGTCACTTTCAACATACTAAAAATGTACGTTCACGCTTTAATGGGAAATGCTATTTTTAGCTCATGACGTCATTGGGGTCAACTTTATAAAAAATATCTTTTAGAACATAGTCACGTTGCACCTCGTTTGAAAGCTCGACAAAAATGCTGTTTGAATATGTAATATTGAAAAAGCTTGGAGGCCAAATAGGAACACAAACACACCAAATGGAATTTCACAACAGTAGATCGTGAACGTTCATCATATCTGGTATTTCAAGAGTATCAAGCCCGTCAGGAAACTCCAGGAGACTGATATCATCTTCCTCAGTAAGTGATGGGCAATTTGTGCAGGTCAAACCCACGCAACCTCCACAGGAAATGGAGCATTCCAGTCCGTGGCGACGACACGTGCGATTTGTGGACTTACAATCTGTTCTACAGCTGCTCTTAATCACCTTCAACAGAGAATGTGGGACAGGTGGCATATCTGTCGTGCATGGCTCTAAGTGATCATCGTGCAGCTGCCATCCCCATTGTGTCTTGAATATTACCTGCACTTGAAGATACACCCGAAGACCGTGGTACTTGGCTGCAGTACTGGTTGGCGGCAAGCATTGGATTTGGACGGATGTGGCACATGATGCAACCTTTATATAGAACCTCTTGTCGCGCAAGGGTGTCTGCAGCAGTGCCATTGTAGAGACTGACTAAAGCTCTTTCTCCAGCATCATTGATGTCTTCCTGAGTCTTTCCTGCTGTGCAAAAAATATGAGCTCGCTTTCGAAAATGAGCATCTGTCAATTTTCTCATTGGAACCACTTTTCCCAGCCCAAAAAGTCTCGAAGTTAAATAACAGCCTTTGACAGCATGAAGAAAATGACACGTTTCTTCGCCTAGTTTCTCCTACAGGTTCTGGATGTTTAAACTTTTGTGATTGTCACCAGATTTTCTGTCTGATCTGAAAATAATAGGCCTGCTACTGAGCAGTGCATGGTGACAAAGGAGCACAAGCAAGTCTGTATCTTCTCCAATGACAGCTACATGGTGGGTTGCTGCATACTCCATGGTAGTTTTTACTATGAGTGTGTTGGTATCTCCAGCAGCATGAAGACAGTGGCAACCAAGAGCCATCCGAGTGCCTCTAAGGAGGTGAACGAACTCCTGTTTGTTTCTTGGATTTGAAAGGAAGTGTTCCTTGCTTGAGGTCAATGGCATTTCTTTGGGGAAGACAACAGCTGGTCCGACCACACCTGCAGAACGCCTGAGGAAAGCGGCATCTTTTACTTATGGGCCCGACTCATACCCATCAAACACCACGATGGGCTTAGAATATTTTCTGTTAACATATTCAGCATACCTATTACAAATTACGGAAACGGGCTCTTTCTTCCTCCAGGGGATTTTGTGAAGACGTGAATCCCCGTCCAATATGGTCACCATGTCCATGTACTCATCTTTCGATGGTGGATCATCTTTGAAGAGGTCTCTCATTGAATCAGCCAGCTTGGAAATGTGTGCCTCTCTCTTCAATCTTGATAGTTCAAAGAGAGAGATGGTGGTGGAGTCGTCAGTTCATACTTCAACACAAATGGGAGATAATAATTGTCAACGTTTGCTGCTGTAATCATCCGCTGAAAGAGAAGTTGAGGATTGACTTTGTATGTTTGCACCCTCCATTTTGGCAGTGATTTTGGTGTCCATGCTAACAACTTGGTCTTTTCTTTTGAAGGTGGAGTCCTTCACAGGTTTGTCCTGCATGGTCTGCAAAATAACCTTGCCAACATCTTTTGCAGTGTCGACATTAACTGTGGAATGAGCTGTCACCCCTGTGCATATATTCCGTAATGTCTGATCACTGGCAAAGTGGTTGCGATCTTTTAGGAAACTAAGGAGCAGTCTCATATCTTTATCATCTCTCGTTTGTCTGGCATCACTGACTTCAATATGTTGTTGACTTGTATTTAATTCTGTACCAGTAACCCGCTGCATTTCATTGCATATTATATCAGCACAAGCTGGCATGGACATGAGCTACTGTGTTCTCTGTGTATCTCCCATGACTCTACCACGCGTCAGTCCTCCTGCAGACTTTGGGTATTTCATTAAGACTTGCTCAATCACGAGATCAGTACTCAGTCCAGCCCAGAAGCGATCACTTCGACCCAGAACGTGAAAGCCAAACGAGAAGGCATTGAAAACTGATGGGTGCTGTTCTTCAAGCTGTCTCATCTTCTAAAGGTAGATATAGACCGACTTGGTGTACTGTGAGTGCCCGGCAGCAGCAAGGAATGGGAGCATGTCTTGCAACGATTGTAAATGTAACCACTAGTCACCTGAACCTTCGGCTTTTAAGGAAGCGTTTCAAGATGTCAATCATATCCGTGTACTGAAGCCAGAGACGAAAAATAAAACAGAAAAAAACCTCCCCCCCCCAAAAAAAAAGGAAAAATACAGCTACCCCCCCACCCAAAAAGGGAGACACACAGGTTTGAACCCTGGTTAAAAAGTTTTACATCTAGTCTAAAAGAGTCTGACGCCTTTACCACTAGGCTAGAACGCCACACGTCATATCATGTCATGTTAACATTTATATACAGTAGGCCTACATAGATCTATGCACTTGATAAAATTGAACGTTCTTTCATTCAACTTCTCTCAGCATACACACCGAGTTTGTTTGTTTGTTTGTTTAGTCTACTGGGTAGAAGAGCTCTAATGCAACAATTACACACCATAGATAAAGTAATTTACTTATTTGTATCAGTTTCCTTTCACATTTCTTCCAAAATAGAGTTGTTTTCAAATGGTGCGGCCATCGCGATCATTCCGCGGACGATGTGTGCACACTGCAAATCAAGCCTCCGCTAGAGGCAACGGAGTTCGCGTTTTCAATGAAAATTAAAAAAACTTTCCCATTCGTACAGTAATGTACATTTTGAATATTTTAGATACGATGATTTTCTCTATCAACTGCATTTCATTGTGTTTCTTTTGCTTTTATTTCCTTGCGATTTTTCAAATCTGCCAGACTATATGCCCCAGGACACAACCCTCATTCCTAACTCCTCGCATAGAGTGACCAAAAATTTGGAAATTATTCGTCATCTTCATCCCTAGCATTTAATAATTTTAACAAAAAATAGTTTTGTGCCCTTTTCACCAATCGCAGAACGTACACCTAATGTTCACGACCATGCCCAGATCACACGCTTAAAAAAACAACCCCATCTCGCCTAAAAGCATTAAGGAGAAGCGCACAAAATCTTACTGTGTTTTAGCCATACATCTAGACAGTGAAGTTCTAATACTTATGATACACGTAATTAAACTAACCATAGGCCTATCACACACTGATCAAGCCAACTCCTTAAAACAAAGAACAACAACAACCCAGAAGTCCCGGAAACCAAGCAAAAATAAGGGCGACGGTAGCCTAGTGGTTAGGGTACTGGAGGTGTAATCGTGAGATTGCGGCTTCCGGGGTTCGAGTCTCAGCTCTGTCCGACGTTACTGTTGTTGGGAAAGGCACCTTACACGAAGTTCCCCACTTGGCTCGGTCTTTTCGGAGATGTACGTTAAAGTCGGAGGTCCCGCCTCTTAAATAACCTAATAGTGTTGATAGGGGCGTTAAGCCTATACCATTTCACATTTTTTTCAAGCAATAATAGAGAATTCTGGTCATACGAAAAGAACAAAATGTGAGGCAGCGCGGTGGAATCAGGCTCTCGTCAATTTTTGGGCATGTATAGTTATCGCTATCATCTTAAAGCTTGTTCACTTGTCTATATTTGGATGAAAGAAATATCCATTTATTTTAAATACAAGTCGAGATATTTGAGAATGAAGGAGGTGGGGGTCACCTGTTTTCCGAGGTAAAATTAGTGAGAAAATGGCTGCCAAAGATTAGTTATTTCCTTAGCTTTAGAGTCCGTGGTAACTGAAAATTTGCATTTTTTGTGTCTTTAATCAACGTTTTTCAGAAAAATCCACACATAAATGAGTTCTTTAATGGGCATGAAAGGTGTTGAGCCCAAAAACAAAAACTTGATAAAAATTCACAAACCTGAGGAAAAATGCAAGTTTCTTCGCTTTGATTATTTTGACGAGAGCCTGATTCCACCACGCTGCCTCACACATATGTGCAATCTGAACCATCGTGAAGCTTACAGTCACAAATTTTGTGTCACAACGCGGTGGAATCAGGCACTCGTCAATTTTTGGGCATGTCGAGTTATTGGTATCATCTAAAGACTGATTTATTTGCCTTGCTTCCTATGAAATTAATGACCATCTATCTGGAATAGAGCTCAAGATATTTGCGATTGAAGGAAGGGAGGTCGCCATGTTTCAGTGATGCAATTAGTGAGAAAATGGCCGTCAATGTCTGGGAACTCCAATAGCTGCGGAGTCCTTGAAAAAAATGACATATTTTGAGCTTTTAATCAATGTTTTCCAGTAAAATTCACTTGGAAATGTGTTTTTATATGAACATAAACACAATAAAAGAGATAGAGTCCCCCCAAAAAATGCGATAAAAATTTCCAGACTGGCAGAAAAAATGCCTATTTGTCCGATTTCTGTATTTTGACGAGCACCCGATTTCAACACGATACCTCACAAATATGTTCAATATAAACCATTGTGTAGCTAACAGTCATGTATTTTTTAGATTTAAAAAATGCCTATTTCGTTTTCATCAGTTGTAAAAAAGAGAACTGTCACAGAACTTGTCTGTTGCTACCCGCACTGACTGTCGGCCTGAACGAGGGGCAATTTGTTATTGCTAGCCCGGGCTAATTAAACATGAGGCATGGAGAGAGAGAGAGAGAGAGAGAGAGAGAGAGAGAGAGAGAGAGAGAGAGAGAGAGAGAGAG